GGGGAGAGAGAGAGAGAGAAGAAAAGAAAAAGTAGTACCGGTTCCAATTTCATCATCTTTCTGGATGGCTTGCAAGAAAATTTCAATCGATTTCTTCGTTGATTTTCCACAGTCAATAACACGTTTAACTACTTATTATATACCTTTGTGTATAGATTTTTTCGTAGAATTTTTTTCGTAGATTGGACGTCGCACACGAAAGTCTTCTCTCGAAGCTTGATAACGCTTAGGGAACAATATTGTGTAACTCTGTGTACATATAAAGAAGAGGTTTAGATACATGATATACATAACATATCGTCGAACTGAAATAAGAGGCTAAATGTAAACGAGTGTTAGTGTAAGTAGATGTATTTTATACCGATAAGCGAAGCATTAATTGATTTCTTTTTTTTTTTTTTTTTTTTTTTTTATTAGTCATAGACGGATAAAATGGTGATGAATCGTCATTGATCTTATTGTTAGCGTTAATAAAGATTGCAATAATTAAATTAATATTTATATACTGTTCAAAAATTTCTTCTATCCAAATAATTTTTATAGAAGTAATAAAATCATGCATGAAAGTATTAACTACTTACACAATCACCATTTCTATGTTTTATGTACGATGGTTGCGGGATAACTGACTGCGTTTTTGATAGTTTTTAAGATTAAGATTAACAGATATCGAGAAGATAATTTTTTTACAATGATATTAAAAAGCTGGTCAGTGAAGTTCACGTCTTATTAATATCTTGTATAAAATGGATGATTGTCGATCCATATATTTCGTATACCATGTGTAAAATTTAGAACGAATTATCCACATTTCTCAATAATATTGTAACCTATTGTAATCGTGCAAGTGAAATTTATGCATGCGACCCGATTAGTATAATCGATGCGATCCTATATATTTTTTTAACGCGCAAGATCTCCTTTTTATTATCTCTTGGAAAAAAATTGGAAAATTTGAAAATTGACGATAGACGATAGATCCATCCGTAGCGTCCATCGTGGAATCGTGCCGCCTGTATAAATCTTCCGTCTCGTTTTCTCTTAATGTCTTGTTTTTTCAAGGATAACTTTCCGCAAAACAAACTGTAACTTTACCAAAGAGCGAGTCTAAATTAATAACCTGTTAGGGATAATAATAATAATAATAATAATAATAATAATAATAATAATAATAATAATAATAATAATAATAATAATAATGATAATAATAATAATAATAATAATAACAACTTGGAGAAACTTTTTCTATTGTTACCTCTATATAAATTATAATATAATTATATAATTAAATTATAATTAAATCGTTACGTACAAATAAATACATTTTCTAAGCACGTTTCCTGCAATATTACGGTAATAAATTGCATTACCGTAATTTTCGAATTCGACGAGAAGAAATATAAAGATATTTTTGCTCAAGATTGAATTGAAGACGATCTATAAAGGAGTTAACTTTTTAAATTGCAAGACGTATAGAGTAGACTATTGCACTCATACCAAAAGAACATTGCATTTTTTTCTTTTTTTATCGTGCTCGGTATTGTTTCTGTAATATAATAAATTTTGTAAATAAGTTTCCGCCATTCCGCGGGTGCGTAATCTTGCCAGCCAATCATTCTCTTTCCTATATAGTGTGTAACGTAATCGCTGAAACAAATTTACATATATAAATTATAAATTTACTAAAGGAAAACGAGCCTCCACTCGCGAAAGATGATTGGGACGTACATAATTGCGAGATATATATATATAATATATATAATATACATATGTATATATATATATATATATATATATTTAACCTATTCTTGTACTCTATAATTTTTGTACAGAGCTACGCACTAGAAGTTAATCAGGGCAATTTAATCGGTGCTCGAAATAATCAATTCTGATTCGTTAGGCCGCTCGACATCGCGAGAGGAGATTTAATATTTTTATAGTTCGCGAGTACAAATTAAAACGGTGCGACTGGTACTAGCGAATTATCGTTTTTAATTTTGTATCGTCGAAATTTTTCTGCTAACTTGCGATACAATTAATAGACGACAATGGCCACCGTTCTTCTCGCTTGTTACTCGAGACACGTCTATTAATTAAGGCTACAGAATTCAGGCAATGCAGAAGAGAATTCGACCGATTAATTCATTATTGTTACCGTTTTTTTTTTTTCTATCGTAGCCATGTTTACGCAAAAGAGGAAGAAGAAAAAGCACGGACAATCTTGCATCAACGATTGTTGTTCAACAGTTCAAAAATTGAGCGACTAGCTCTCACTAGGGGAAGAAAATTGTCTGTTGTACAAGCAATCTTGATTCATCTTTCCTATATAATGGTGATGATTTATTTTGCGTAGACGTGGCTCTATCGGATCTGGATAAATTTTATTCTGTGATGTATTTTTTTTCATTGTGACACACTCTTGACGATTCGTCAGGAGTGATATTTATTTTTTCGATTTCAAGAACGTGTCGTTTTGTTCTTCGACATTGTACGTATATACACGCGTACATCTATATATACATACATATATATACACACACACATATATATATACACGTATAGATATACGCGTGATAGATACGTCTGTTTAGATTTAAAAAAGAAAAAAATTTTATCGTTTTTCCAACAACGAAACATTCTTTTTTGCATTGCAAATTGAGTAGCCATAATTCTCTCTGGAAAAATCACTGGAAATTCTATCTAACTTTGATAAATGCGTACGTGAAACGTGTCGTCAGATTTAGGTCATCACTTGTGACCGCAACGAAGAATTTGTAAATATTTAACATCGAAAATAAATAGAAAATAAAGAAAATAACATTTAAATCGTTGTGATTGATTGTATTATTAATTATATTCCTTTTCAATTATTATTCCGTATACTACGATTGACCTACGTTTAGAATATTCATCGAATCAATCCATTCGTCTCGTTTCCCGCGTAATAACTTAACTGCGATAACGAATATGATCCTTTAAGACGAGTTTATTTTTGTGAGTCTCCATCCGTAGCAACCTCCACGTTGGTGAGACTTGGGAAATCGATATTATTATTTATCCATATATTATACCACTTCTTCTTATTTACGATGATATCGTTATATGGATTGCATAATATCGAGCTAATGGCTACGAGATTAACATTCGTTTATTGGATTCTTACTTTCTACTGCTTCGTTTTTATCATTTTTATATTTGTTTGTCAAAATTTAATAAGAGAAACGTATAATTTATCCATAATCCGAACATCCAGTGTTCGAGAATTAATTTTAATTCTTCGCTAATTTTCCGATTTTCATTTAGGAAAAAAAGAAGAAAAGTTTCTTTCTACGAGTTCGTTCGAGTTCAAGGATAGATCAAATAGATTTGTATATTTCTTTTTTTTTTTTTTTCCATTCTTTAATATCGTACGTCAAGGCTGGTATATAATTTACAATTTATTTATCAAAGGTAAAATGCATGTTCGAGAAAACTTATTCGCTGCTAATATCGAAGAAGAAGAAAAAAAAAAAAATCGAGACGACGAATGTGCTTTCACAAAGAAAATCGTTTACACGCACTTAAGATATTATTATAATTTAATCCGAAGGAGGATAATAAAATTGGGCACAATCGCGTGCATATTTACAAGTTTTTATGCCGAAAGTAGAAAGAATTACAATTGGAACGAATTTACAAATTGGATCGAAGTGGATTAACTAATCGAGACGATATAAATATAATTTTCGAAATAGAATCTCGCAGGAAAGGAGGAATTCGAAATTGATCCCAATTCTAGATTCGACCATCTTGGAGATTGATACTATACTCGATCGTTGTACCTTGCACCACATTTACATTTTTTCCTCCTGTTCGTTTTCCACTTCCGATAAAACTACCCGCCTCCCTGTCCTCGCATCGAAAGAATCGCATCGAAAAGTTTTGATCCAAGGATCTAATTAATAACTTGCCCCGAAAAGGGCAAATCGATCAATTTTCGTAAAATTTCACTTTCCTCGATCGAAGCGAATTTCGCTGGTTCTTAGGAAAATTTCGCGTTGCAAGATCGATCTCGATAACAATCCTCTCCATTCTCTCTTCATTCGAAATTCGTTTTTCAGTAGCCGGTATAATCCTGCCATGACAATCCTCCCCTCTGCGGCCTGTACTGGCCACCGCCTACTTGAATCGTCTCGGGCCCCGTCCTGTAATACACGGTTCTCAGCCTGTCGCCGTTAACCGCGGGTAAAAATGGAGAATTGGCGACGAACGGTTTCTGTTGCTGGTTGACGGGCCTGGAAACTTTGTAATTACTCTCGGACGATTGGAGGACCGCGTCCCTTCCGATCTGTCTGTGGAGAGGCAGCACGAATCCGCTTGGCAGGCTGGTCTCCTGATTCAACGTGGGCGTTAACGCGTCGTTCAGGGTCACGTCGTACTCGCTTTCGGGGATGTCCTGCAGCCGATGCGTCACCTCGTTCAACCGTTGCTTCACCCTGAAACTTTGACCTGGCCCGCTCGGATTCTCCTGGATCTCCTCCTGGTTCTTGAAACCGGTTCCGTAAATCGGATTCTCCGTCAATCTCCCTTTGCCCCGATACGCAGCCGTTTGCACGTTGCTCCCCTCGTTGCCCTGCGCGGGGCTCGAGAACTGTTCCACGGCGGCCTCCCACCCGGCCAGTCCATCCTCGAACGGATCCTCGTTCTTCCCTTGCTTCGACTTCTCCTCCTCCTCCTCCTCCCCCTCCTCATGAACGGACGGCCTTCGAATCTGCGCGCCTCTCGCCGTGTCGTACCTTCCACCCATCCTGTTGTACTCCCCGTCCGTTTCGACGCCCGTTTTGTATCCGTTCCGATCCTCCTTCCCCTCCTCTCGAGGCCTCTCCTCCGCCTGATAATAATTCTTCCCCCTTCCTGCACGCTCTCCTCCTCCTCCTCTACCCTCTTGGGCGCGGGGCCAGCTTCGCGCCGACCGGGGACAACCCCCTCGGATTGGGATTACCCCCCCTGGAGGGCAGGAAGGGTCGTTTAACCACGCGGATCGTGGCGCGCGGCGGTGGAGCCGGCGGATCCTCCGCCTCGTCGTAATACTCCTCCTGCGAGTACTCCTCCATCGACGTGGTCTGGTAGCGTTTCTCCTGCTCTTGGTAATCGGACGAGTGTTGGCTCGTTGGTCGACGAGGGTCGGTCGCCTCCACGGTTTTTCTACCCTCGTTTCCCTCCTTCGAGAGGGATTCCGTTTTGCGAGGGGGTTGTTCGGGCGAGCAGGTGGTGCTGGTGCTCGTTGCAGCGGCGGTGGTGGGAGTGGTGGTGGTGGTGGTGGTCGTGGTGGTGGAGGTGGTGGAGATTCGTTCCGTACGATCGTGATTGTTGTTGCGATCTCGTCTCGAATCTTCTTGCGAATCCTTCGACCTCGATCTGGAACGATCGCCCTGAACGACATCCTTGTCGACGGGTCGCTCCTGCCCTCTTCCCCGATCCTTTCCACGATCGAGGAGGGATCGATCTCTGCCTCGATCCCTGTCTCGATCGTAGTAGCGATCCCTCGAGTGTTTCCTCGGCCGCAACTCGTCCTCGTCGTCCCGATATCGCGATCTGAATTATTCGGGAAAATGGGATCAATCAAGTCGTTTCGTTCTCAACGTTGGACGTGCAATGCATGCTGGATTTAGTTAGGGAATAGGATCGGTGTTTGCGTACGTACGTTGCCTTACCTGAACGGTCGGCCTCTGTCTCTCTCTATCGCGTCGTAGAAATCCCTGTCCCTGTAAGACGACGGCCTCCTCCTCAACGGCCTTCGAATCGGCCTCACGTCTTCCAACTCGTCCTCGTAGTAATCGTCCTCCGCGATGTCCACCGGCCTTCTTCGAGGTTCCTCTGTATAACAAAGAAAGAAAGAAAGAAAAGAAGGGAAAGAGGAGTCGTCATCTCTCGAGTTTTATTAACCCTTTGCGCTCCCTTTTTCGAGCACGACTCGGTGAACTGTTATTGACGATTAACTTGAAATGATTTGAAACTTTTATTGAAATACTTTACGTATCGTACGAAGAAGGAAAATTTGTAGCAATTGCATGCCAAGATGCATCCTCGGCTCGTCAGGGCGATAAATGTTATTACTTATCTTTCATCTTCCCATTTCATCTTCGTTGTAACAAATTAAGTTAGATAAAGTAATTTCGTTATTCAATAGCACGCAAAACTGAAAAACCTTGAAAATAATGGTTTTATCGCCACTGGGCTCGGTCCAACTGGGAGCAAAGCCAAAAATGTGGTTCGATCGGAATCCAAAAAATTCGACGCTTTTACAAGATTATACGCAAAGAGCTTAGTAATCCGTTTAAAAAAAGAATCAAAGGTAAATAAATATCGCCGTTCGATCCAAGCCGTTGCCGGAGGGTCGCCGTTCGAGCGCAAAAGGTAAACTGTTCGTATTTACATTTATTTATTATACCAATGTAAATATACTAATAAAACGTCGAGCGCAAAGGGTGAATAAAGGTCGAGGAAAAGGTTGCAAAGGTTGTACCGGTCGATTGCACGGCCGTAGTTTTGTAAGCGTATTTATCCTGCTCGGAGAGCGGAACCGGCCTACGAATCTTGGGAGGCGTTCTTGGCCTCGCGTAGAGCGAGGTCGCGGGCGCAGCTGGTTTCACCAGGCCGTCCGTGCTTCCCGAAACTGGATCCTTGTCCTCGTAATCGTCCCTGTACCTGTACCCAACCAACCAAAAATTTCCTCGAATGTAATCACGAATTCGATCGTCAAAAAAAAAAGGAAGAAACCTACCTTTTATCCGGATAGCGACGATCGTCGGGATCTCTGAGCCTGGGATCGACTCGTCTGTCGTCCAACTCCGCGTCGTCGACCTCCCTGGACACGGAGGGCCTCGAGCCCTGGTCGGGAGGATCCCTCGGCCTGGGCCTGGCATCCTCCTCCAAAGGAGGATCCCCCCTCACCCTGCCAACAGGCTCCCTCCTGTTGTTTCTGTACCGGTCGACGCCCTCTCTGGACCTGGGCGAATCTCGAAACTCTCTATCCCTGAAGTCGCGATCCCTTCTGTACTTTCGATCCTCGTAATCGTAGTCGTCCCTGCTGTAGCCCCGCGGCCGGCTGTAGTCGTCGTCGTAGTACTCCTCGTCGTAGTAATCGTAGACAGGCCGCCTCCTGAACGGCCTCCTCCTCCTCGACGGCAGGTCCCTCGACGATTGGCGGCCTCCTGCGGCCGTCGCCGGCGCCGACGTGGTGGTGGTGGTGGTGGTGGTGGTGGTCGAGGTGGTGGACGTGGTGGAGGTCGTGGTCGCTTTGTACAGGGCGTCGTTCCTGTGCCAGTACTTCTTCGAATTGGCGCAGTCCACCTCGGACACGAAATGGCAGATGAAGGTCTTTTGGTCGAACGCCGTGAAATTGGCGCAGAGGAAGTCGTATCGGGTGCCGAAAAGGCAGTGATGGTACACCTTGAGGAGAAGATAGGATTTTATTAATTTTTCCAGGACAGGATTATTAGACGTCGACTAGCTTTCACGAGTAATCGGTAGGAGAACGTGGATCAGCGAATACGTTTCTCCAACAAGTATTCGAGATGTACGTGGCTGATTCGCTCGATCCTTAATTTCCGATCGAATTTTTTCACCATTTCCAAGTTTTCACCGCGGATAATTTTATCGGAAACCCGCCTAAACTCTAAACTGCAGAATTCGCTCGGCTCGAAAAATCGTGCCTCTTTCCAAACCGAAAGAAACCGAATCGGTCGAGCGATTTCGCTCCGGTGATGGATCGGGAATATTGCTCAACTTCGCCTCGTATAAATGTCAAACGTACGCCTCGGTCACGAGTTGTTTGCTCGTTAACGAAACGGAATTATTTCGAGGAAGAGAGCTTCGTCTCGATTTAGATCTCGACTTTTTTCGCGATAAATTTTCGCTCGTTTCTCTTTCTTGCGATATCCGCCGGATCCATTGCTCCATCGCCGAGCGAGGCGAATCGAGATTTGCATAACAATGGCCCATTCGTTGGCTAGGTGAACAATCGATAAGAAAACGTCGGAAAGGGATATACGTTGCAATCGCTTTCGCAATCCGCGAATCTCGAAACGGTCAGGGACGGGAAGCGTATCGGACCGCGAAAAAACTCTCCTCGAGTTCTTTTTCCACTTCCGTCGTGGAATCGTTCGAGAAACGAGAAAACTCGCATCTCCTCCCCGTGGTCACGGATGGTCGACGATCCAGCGGATAAGAAAATCTTTCCTTCGGGCATTCGTCCAGATGACACTGACTTTCCTTTTCGCTAGACCGATCGCCAATACTCCACTTTTACTCTCGTGTTGCTCGATCGAGTTTCGAGCGCCTCTTCTTTCGTGATGGAAAAAAGAAATAAGAAGTGGACTCATTTATTTATTACGAACGAATCGGCGGCGAAGATTTGTCGACCAGCGAATTAGCTCCGAGAACCTTATTAGATCGAGTCTAAAAAAAGGCTCGCATCACCAAGATGCGAGAACGAGCGGTTTCGAATCCGTTTCGAGCTTTCTTTCTCAATTTTTCGCGCCACGATCTTTTCAGATTTATTTATTTCGCTCGGCGAAGGTCTCTCTCCAAGAGACCCGAGTAGGAATAAATTTTTGCTTAATTATGCGGACCGACTGTCGCGAATGCAAAGTATATACATATATATATATATATATAGAAAAAGAGCGAGCGCGCGTCCCTCTTGGAAACGTTAAAGGCATCTTTAAGCGGACGGTATCCTTCGATGCGTTATTTAAAGAAAGAGAAAGTCTACCAATTTTCATCGCCAAGAATAACTAAGCGATCGATGGATTCGTTCGTCAACTTGATAGAATAATTACGAATACATCCTCTCCTCCTCGTCCTCCTCCTCACCTGGCATTTGTGCGGCACGCTTGCGTAAAATCCGTCGTGGAGCCCGTCGCATTTGAAGTCGATGTCCTCGGGTATGCTGTTGTAGAACGGGTAATCGCTCAGATTGTAGCCGTTCAACTCGCGGGGCAAATTCGGGTCCCAGATGTAGTCGATCTGCGGGATACCCGTGAGGACGTGGCCGCTCGTCGCGTTCGTCTCCCCGCTGGCGGTCGCCGTTGCTGTGGTCGCCTGCCAGAGATCGAGAAAAAGAGAATCGTCAGTAATTTCGATTCCAAGTAACGGAGTCGAGATGAGTTCGATGATGTCATTCGGTGTTGTTTCTATGCGAAGGTAAACTTGTACGCGCATAGCGCGTGTCTGAGTTAGATTGTTGTATAATTTGGAGCGATACGATCTGAATCCGGAGGGAAATATTGCCGTACCGATCCTTCACTTGCATCATCCCGATAAATGAGACGAGGATCGTGTTTGTAATTGTAATTCGCGATTATCGGGGGGGATACAGTGGAAACGTACCTCTGCATCTTCGTTCTCGTTCTTCTGATTCTCTTCGGTGGTGGTGGTGGTGGTGGTGGTCGACGTAGTGGCGATCTTGAATTTCGGCCTGGTCGCCTTACGCTCGGCCGAGACCGCGTTGGCCAATAGGATTCCTGGAAATTACGGAGGAAACGCGGTGAAATGCGAAGGAAGGCGAACACCGATCGAGCGAAGAGGAAAAGGAAAAGGTCGAAGTCGGCGGCACCGGTTGGATGGTAAATAATCAAAGGTACGCATCCACGGGTTGCGCAAGCGAGAAGAAGAAGAAGAAGAAGCGTCGGCGTTGCAAAATCCGCACATGAGAAGAGCAGCTCGAGAGAGGAGCTCGGTTAGTGTTGCAATTTTCGCGGCACAGGTGAACGCGTTCGGTTGGGCAATTGTTTTCAAGCGGATCAAGGCTATATCTATCGATCGTTTTCTCGCGCCAGTTTATATTACGGTTCTCCGCTGGAGGGACGAGGAGGAGATTAATTGTTAACCAATTATTTATTAATATCAGGGAGGGTCAACTTCCATCTTTTTTCCCCTTTTCTTTTCTTCCCCTCCACCTCACCCGTAACGGCATTCTCGTTAATGAACTTGAATTATCGGCGGATCTTTACCGACGAGCAACCTCTAATTAAATCAAACCGGTTCAAGGTCGGTGTGGATGGACGAGAAAACCTCTCTCGAGAGACGCGTGTCTCGTCCGTGTCGAACGGGGAAAAAAAAAAAAGAAAAAAAAGAAATACTTTCTTCTGTCTTTTGCTTCTTTCAAGGGAGGAAGAGTTTAATTTAAGAAGAGATATCGTCTCACGGTATCGTCTTTACGGTCCTTCTCCTCTGGAGAGTGGATGTCCTCGATGGTGGAAAACGTGGCGTCGCCACGTTTATAACGGGATCGTGGTTTTCCAATGGAGGGGGAGGGGATCGATGCAAGCGGTTGCATAAAAATGAATTATGGGAACGAGCGTGCTCGCATTCCGTTTGTGGGAAACGGTTCCAACGTGGTCGCACCCCCCCACGTTTTCGTGACGAATCGCTTCGAGCAACGAATGGGAATGGCTCGACATTCTCGTTAAAAAAAAAAAAAAAGAAAAGAAAAGAAAGGGCGTACGTATCGATACAGGGGATTTTTTCTTCTCTTCTTTTCCTTTCTTTCGATTCTCCCCCCGTGGTGCAAGGTGCCGTATCGTTCGATAGCTTTCAAACAAGTTTTCGAAGGCCTCGAAGGACTGTCTCTCGATGCGAGAAACGAATAGTCGTCGAACGGGTGAAAATGTCAGAAACCCACATTCGCGATATTCTCACCGAACAATCTTATCTCGTTTGCGTCGAAGCGAAACTCTTAGTCGATTATGTACCTCGTTTGTAGAGAATTTTGGAGCTCGTCGCAACAGGACAAAGGAAACGGGCTCGTTGATATGCACACCGGTATCCACTACCTTCGTGGAATCTTTCGGTCAAGCTCTTTCGCGCGTCACGCGTATCCGATTTGCGTTATGAATACGAAACGTGGTGTTTTTCCACGTTCCCGGGTTCGATCTTCGTATCGTAAGAAAAAAAAAAAGAAGAAGAAAAAAAAGGAAGGAAAAAAAATCGATCGAGAGAAGAGAGACACCGGTGTGAACGAACCTTGAACGACATCGAACGACGCGAAACTCTCGGATGGAAGGTCGACCGGCATTCCTCTCCGGATATGGAGAGTCCGAAAATACCAAGGACACTTTGCCCGCGGCGCAAATCGAATGCGAAGCCTTTATACTTCCATCGTGCCAATTTAAACGCCAAGTTTTTAAGTTTAAAACGGACGAAAGTTTTAGAATTCCCCCCCCTCATATCGATCGAGTTCGATCGAGTCGAGATTGGTTTTACACGCGCGCTATACTATACCGTACGTGCTTACTTACCGTACAGAGCGAGCAGAAGCCACCTTTTCTCCCGCATGTTGGCGCTACTGTAACACACAAGAAGAATGTCCCCGATTATTCTCGAGAATCTGGGAAAGTTTTTCGCGGGATTTCCGCTCGTAACAGGGTTAAAAATTGATTTCGCGTACGTTGTCGCCGATATTGAGTTGTACGCAGCATAATCGAGGCATGGCAATCGCGTTGGAACGTAGACCGGTACAGGCGCTCGAGCATATGGGAACGGTTAGGGGAACTTTCTCTGTGCTGTCACCACTGCTAACCATATAATGCAAGGATAATGTAGGTGTTATATAAATGCACGATCACGTAATACCGGGTGTGACTTTGTCGTCACTGCTATGCACGCTATCCACTTTTAATAATCGTTAAAACAAAGAGAATATTACACTCCATCCTGCTCGACGATAAACACTTTTTGAACGAAACCGTTAACCGAACGATACTTAACGTATCAACGGGGGATATTTACGAAGAATCGTCAAGAACGACAGATTCGACGGAAATCGGTGAAAGTAATCTGCTGAAAGTAATAAGATTGCGTTTTGACCGCAAACGAATCCATTATTCCTTATCGTCTTTGCAAAAAAAAAAAAAAAAAAAAAAAAAAAATTAGAAAAGTTTGTATCAACGAACTCGAGCGATATGGATTTATCGATGTCTCGGTACATCGATGGCCAGAATTTTCTAACTCGCGTTTCAGTTTCGGTAAGTTAAAGAAAAGAAAAGAAAAGAAAAATGTAGACCAATAGACGCGGGATATTTTCGCATTAATTAAGCGCTCCAGTTCGCGGACGGATCGTTATCGTTGGTGTAAAAGCGTGGTGGAAAAAGGAGAGAGTATATAGCATGCCTCCTGCTCACTGCTCCTTTCCGCAAAATGGAAACATGGAATCGCGCGTTGTTCGATTACACAAGTCTCTACGCGATTGCTTTCTTTACTACGTGTCACGACGACGAATGTACGCGAGTTCCCAGGCGTGCTGGGAAATTTTGAGCCGTTTCATTCGGAAGAAGTCGCGATTACGCGATCGCGTTTAACGAAAGCGCTCGTTCCCTTCGCCATTTTAGAAAACGCCATTTAATTCTCAATCCTCTTTGCCGATCCACCGAATCGTAATAATAAATTATTATTATTTTACACGACGTACACTTTTTACCGCAAATACTTCTTCTTTTCCTCGTAGGATTCCTCTTTATCGAGTCGCGCGTGCAACGACGCGACACTCGTAACGTTACCTTACGGTAAATTACGTTATGTTACGACACACGTAACGGTCAACCCGCGACCGCTAAAGGTCACCGGAAGTAAATGGCTAGCCCGACTAGCTGCCCGATCAATTTCTCAAAACAACTGGTAACCTTTTAACCGTTTCTTTCCTTTCTTCCAAAGTGACGACACGAGATACACCTCTTGTTTTAAAACAATTTCTTCTTTTTTTCGTTGCATTTGGAGAGAAAATTATTACTTCTTTCTTCAAAGAGATAAAATAATTTTGGAATCGGGTCAGAAAAAAACTTATGCACATACAACGCGTAGCGTTTGTTGCTTCTCTCGAGACATTTCTGATTTTTTTAAAGATTAAACGTTGGCAGAAGGCGTGGTTAGAAAACCCGATAGCCTTCAAAACCCGTACGAGTTGGCAGCAAGCTTTCATTTCCTCGTGCTTGCTGTTCTTTCGTGCCTATTCCTCGAATAAAAACACACGGGTTATTGAGTGAATCGAAGAAGCTGCGCACGCTTCTTTGCCTCGATCGAAATATTTTCGAGCGCACATTTTTTTCCCCTCTGTCGATACACGAGCGTTTGGGTGCTCAATCGTATGAACAATAATCACGCTCAAAAGCGGGACGCGTTCTCCCATTTCGATCGTGTCTCTCCCTCGACGCGTTCGCGTTCACCATTGGAAAGCCATTGGAGGAATCCTTCTGTCGAGCGAAAAAAGTCGACTATCGGCCAAACTCCGAGCGGATTCGATTCGTTCTTTTCCACGACGCGCGGATTCGTATGTCGAATACTCGTTGACCGATCGTTGGCTATTACAGGCGCACGATCGCTCGCCTCTCGTCTGACGCAACGAAACGGGCGAGGTCAAGGCGTAACGCTCGATCCTGAAAAAAGAAAGGTGATATTTGCCCGATAATCGAACACGAGGGATGGAATGAGCGCCACTGCGTATTCCACGCGAACTCGTCTTCTTCTTGATCGTTAAACGCTTGTCGCACACGGAATGGGATACGTAGGATAGGACGTAATTACGCGTGGCAAATCGAGACGATTGCGGTCGCGCTATCAAATGCACACACTCTTCTTTCCCGCTTTCAATTAAAATCGCGATGAATATGATTATTCCTGGCGGATAACGAGACAGACCGCGAATGCGGGTTTTCTTCGCGTCGTTGATCCTTCTCCCCCTCTTCCCTTGTCCTGTGTCGGTTGGTAAAAAGAATACGCCAATAGCGTTGCTCGCCGTGCGATATGGAACTGTGTGATATAGTTCGAACAGGTGGCGTAATCGCGGCGAATTGGGGTACTTCGCGGATCCGCCATCTTTGCAAATCTTTCTTCTTTCTTTCGAATAGTAAACCTTGAAAGCTCGGGGGCATAGATTCTATCCGAGACGTGTGCTATTCAAACGCGTGAAAACGCGAAGGTGCGACTTAATGCCGACTGGTTTTTCGTGTCAAGGTGCCAGAATTATCTCGGATTGATCGCGTGTTAGTAAAGTTGACAAAAACACGCGAGATTTTTGACACGCCTGCGTACACGGGAAGCAAACCGTCGAATCGAACAAACGTGGCAAGTCGTTGAGATTGAAATCGTCGACGAATAACCTCGATGGTCGGGATTTTTCGATAATTCGTTTCTTGTACGTAAATGCAAGAAGAATCGCGTTTGGTGAAAATGACCGACTTACGTAATCGCTCATTCATCGACCGTGCCTCTTAAATAATTCTAAATCCGCGAGTTTCCCGGCCATCTTCGAGTTCGTTCAACTTGAGCGATCGAGGACAGGGAGAATGTTTCGATTTCGATAAACTCGAAATTTTTGTTGGATTCACTGAGAAAAGAGAACCGGCTACGGATATAAATAATTTTCACCGCGATGAATAAAATTTATTCAACCGTAAATCGTAAACGTGGTGTCGGTCACATTTTGTCGGCGCATTGTGTAAGCTTACGGTAAACAAGAAAGAAGATTTCTTCGAATTTTTTTTTTTGCTTCGTTCGACAGAAAACGGCCGAGCAAACGAGTAGAAGGAAGTTGATCTGAAATTAAGAGGATATTAAGAAGAGAAGAATAAAGACGCACACTTTCCGTTCCCTTAACCAGTGATCGTTGAACGATCCAGAATCCAATTTCACCATCACCGTTTCAGGGAAAATTTTGTAACTGGGATCGACGTAATTCCTTCGAAACGGCAAGAAAGTGAGAATCGGTGAGAAGAGGAAACGTTGCCGGAATAGGAAATTGAATAGGTATCTTCCTTTCTGCTTTTCAAATCTCGAGAAAAAGAAAGAAGAGAGAGAGAGAGAGAGAGGAAAGGTTTTCGTGTATAATTAATGTGTCGTGAAGCGGCTGTGCCACAAGGAATAATTATACGCCAAGAGATCGTAACGAGAGACCGATCCAGTATCGTACGAGAGACGTTTTTTACGACTGCTTCCTACCCGTGTAAATTACAGTTTCTACGGTTTCTATGGCAAACCCGAAATCGACGATCACAGAAGAAGACAAGAAGCATAGTTCTCGAGACGTGATTTTCTTCGTAGTCGATTGATTCGTTTCTAAAATTATCTCTGCTCGCTTTCGTTTGAATTTCACTCGCCGACTCGGTTTCGTCGTCGATGTTTGCTCCCCTGTTCAAGTATCATTTATTTATCCGAGGAGGAACGGACCGTCTGAAATTCGATTCATCGGTGCAGATCGCATCATCGAAAGTAGACATCGCGCAATATTCACGCGTGCCTCGCGTAGAACAGTGTCTGACACACTTTGTTTCGTTTCGAAAGTGGCGATGGTCAAATTTCGCTCTATCCTAAGGCGAGGAATAGCGATTAAAAGGAACCTGTATTATAACTCTTGATAAATAATTTATCACGCCGAATTTATATATCTATTCCTTTCTTCTCGCTTAATTTTTCCCTCGTTATATATTATTTTTTTTACGAAATTCAAATTTACCATGATTGTTGGACTACGCAGTACAACTGCGTGAAAAAAAAGCAGAAAGGAAGAAAAATATAAAGCAAAGTTTTCGAGAACTCAATCGCGCGAAACGACTCTTCTCTCGGCGAGGAGAGGAGAGGGGAGCAAGAGTGAGCGAGGAATATTTACATCTCAGACGCCGTCCGTCGTTATTGTTCGAGGAAAAAGAGAATTTCGAAATCCACTCGTCTCGAGAATCGTACGGTAGAAAAGTCAATAAATTCTAATGTCGCGTTATTGGACACGGACAGTGATGGTTCGTTAGCCATACCGATGATACTCATTTACGAGAAAACTGTTCGGGAAAGGAGTAGCGGCGCGATATGGTCGAGGTACGACCTCGAGCGACCGCAAATATAACGCAAGGCCCTTGAAAAATTATCGTACCGTTGACCTTTCGAAAACGAAGATGGGAGAGGGGAGACAGAGTTGGCCGTTAACCCGTTGAAAAAGTAAAACTGGTTAAAAATTTCGAATAAAGTTGACCACTTGATCACTTGTTGAAACGCTTCAACAACATTTATTCGTACCTATTGCACCCGTTTCCCAATTATTCCAAATTATTATTATTATTATTATTATCGTTTCGAACGACAATAAACTTGTCCAAGTAAAGTTTATTCGTAACTTGAACTATTAAATTTCGCCCATCACCGACGAGAGGGCAGTAGCGTCGCGTTCGTTTCTATCCATGGGCTCACGAAAAATTGGACGAATTGCCGATCGAAACGATTAAGCGTCCATTCGAGCTGTTCGATTACGAGCAACCGGCTCGTTATTTTTCCGTCAGCGTATAGCGGGAGAAAGCAGACCGCGGCCGGACGACGCTTGTTCTCGTGTCGTAACGTGGCTCGTTCGAGAGCTCGCGCTCCCGATATTGTTTATTGTAAAACATCTGGCAAAGTATCGGTCGAAACGTGTCAAAACAGTGCCGCGAAAGCAGTGGCACGTGGATTACGTAAGGCGCAGCAATAATAGTTGCATTGCTTTATGCGCGATCACCTTTGTGCTGTGATTCCAGGAATTGTAATTATAGGTTAGGAAGAAGAGAGGAGGATATTTCTTATTTTCGCGAGGGAAGAAGAAAAGAAACGTTTCATTTTTCGAGCTCGACTTTCCTCGAGCTCGTGATTCCGAGTTGTCGCGAGGCTTTCACGTCTCTCCGTTTCTTTTTTTTTTTTTTTTCTTCTTCTTTTTAACCAATAGTTTCTCTTCCAGTAGCGAAACAATAATTGATTCCATTTGACGCTCGATTAGGTAATTCGATCGAGGATAACGAGCGAGCAAGAAGCGTTTCCGGACCGTTTAATATCCTTCGAGAGATATGGAATTGGAGAGGATATTCGGAGAGGGTATGACGCGAGTATTAGGGCGTCTAGGAGCGTTTAAGGCTCTACTCGAGCAAAATAAATTCGCTTTCAAGCGTGTGTGTGTGTGTGTATATAGAATCGGGCATGGAATCCGATGTATCGAAAGTGAACGTGGACGACGACGTTAGAATGCAACAAGGAGGAAGGAGAGAACGAAAGGGGAGACGGCGAAAGAGAGGGAGAGAGTGGAGGCACTGTCGAGGTTACGGAAAACCGCGAGATTAATCGACAACCGATACCGCCGTTCACGAGGAGAGTTTCGTTCATTGGATCGGATAATAAGAAATCGGTAACTGAAATTAATTGGCGTACGAGCCGTTCGATCATATCAGAATTATCCTCGTTTCTTTACCGACGCGGTGTCGTAACTCGTCAGAGGAAACGTTACACTTGCGCACAACGTTGGGGCACGAACGTTGCTGGTATAAGTTTATATACATACACACTTCGCGATACGATTCGAATACGCGAGAGTCACGTCGTTCGAATCTCGCGGCGATCTCGAATGGAAACTCGATTATCCTTCTCTCCAACGTGGAATCGAGACAGCGTGAAAATGTATTTTATTCGCGCGAGGTCAGTGGAATTACTCGATATCGGTATACGAAGAATACGGATTTCAATCGTTGCGTATTTTCTCGACGCGTGGCGCCGATTCGCGTGTTTTATTACTACTCTCGACACGTGCACACTGGCCGTGCGTATTTCCTGAAACGAAATTCCGCTCGTTAACTTCGATCTACGATGAGCGAGAATGGAAATTCAATTTTCCGCGTTCCGATTACGCGCGATTCCCGATGAAATCATAAAAATACGTTAAAATACGATCAAACTCGCGTAACGTATTGCAAATATATCGCGATATATATATATATATATTTTTTCTTTTTTTTTCCTTTCACCTTTATTTAGACAACCACGATGGAGATGGCAAGCGTAGGCGTACTTTTTCCCTCGAAGCAAGGAAAAGGAGAGAGAGAGAGAAGAAAAAAAGGAATGGAAAGTCGAGTGGAATCGGCAAATTGGAAGAGATAGAACCAGTTCGCTTTCGTTGTCACATTCGAAGGTGTGAAAAAAAAAAAGAAGAGGATGCGACCGATGGCCGGCGAAAGTTTTGCCGCCTTTATCTCGCTTCAATGAAACTATCGATTCAACGATCGATCGTCCTTTCACGATTTGAATGCGTCCTATTTGTCTTCGTCGCGGTGCGTCGTTCGAATTCCATTCCAGTCGTTCGATCACGAGAAGAGCATTTCGAGGCGCGCTGTTTTCTCCTCTTACGAAAATAATACGTTTAGATACCAGAACATTGCGTTAGAGTTGAAATCTCTTTTTTCTTCCATTTTTTTTCTTCTTTTTTTTTTTTCTTCAACTATATCGAGCGAAATGAGTCGGTCGGAGCGGTTTCACTAGCCGCGAGGTACGGCTCACGTGGAGGGATTGTCGCAAGAAAATGCTGACATTCTGGCCGCGGGCAGAAGCCGACCACTTCTGTCGCTTGAATAAAACACTGTGATTATCGCCGCTTAAGTAATTTCAAATTTCATTTGTCTCGGCTCGTCTCGTCTGGATTCGATGGCAGGCAACGTTCGCTGGTATATAAATAGCGAAGGAAATTTGCCACTACTTTCGCCACGTTAAATCTCGTAAACTCTCGTATCGTAACAACGAAGGAGGATAATCGAAACTTGACTCTTCGTTTAACCTCGTTTCCACTTCTTCTTTCCTTTTTCTTCTTCTTCTTCTTCTTCTTTTTTTCCAAATCATCTTCGAGAGGAACGATCTCTCGAAACTTTCGCGGATTTTCCACCACGGTTCAAATATATGGAATATATTTATATCCACCCGTTTCGAAAAAAAGAAAAGAAAAGAAAAAAAAAAGGCACAAACCTGTCTCTCGGCTCCGTTTCTTCGTTAATCCCTCATGAAAACACGATCTTCACATCGAGGCGCACTCCAACTAAAGTAATATACTTCTGTCACACGTTATACACCGCGCGGCTACTTCTCTGCCAGCGAACGATCTCGAGAAACGTGACGAACGAGGGTGGATGGATATTGGAATTTTCGAGAGAAGAATCGGCGGGGAAAAGGAAAGAGCGCGTTGTTGTTCCGTCGGTTGAGGGCAAGACCGCGTCCGGTCCGGCCAGAAGACTGCGCGATGGAAGTGGAAAAGCCAGCGGCAGGAGCGTTGTGCTCCGGCCAGCGTCGTCTGGTCGAGCTTTCTACGGCCAGGAGGATAACGCCGAGGTGGGGGGGCTTGGACGGACATAGGCGCCTTCCCTGCTCTCGCATTGGCGTAGCCCTCGTCAAAAAACGATCCCCCACCGAAAGAGCGAAAGGAGCACCTGCGTCGCCACCTGATAGCCAATGCAACTCCAACGTTCTCCAACCTTTCAAACTTGACTCTTAAACGTCGCGTTAGAAGGCCATCCATTTCTACTTTGGACTTTTCTGTCTTATCGTCGCTTACTTTTACCACGTCTATTTTTCATCCTCGATCCGAGATCCCCCTGTTTCGAGATCCGAACAAACGTAGGTGGACGTAGGTCGAGCCGAAAGGTCTCGAGTCGCCTTCAGGAGATTCTGACACTTGCATCCTTCTCCTTATATTTATTTTTCCTTTTTTTTTTTTTTCCTCCCCCGAATAACCGAGCCTATCCAATTATTTCGATTTTTCGAATGATCGAGCGAAGGAATCGAGTGAAAGTGAAACGTGTCCCCGCGAGTAGGATAAAATCGTCGCATCCTCGAGAATTCGATCTATCGATCGATCGATAAAAATCGTGCACCACTGTTTGGAAATAGGAAGTTCGATTTCCCGTTCGACGCTTGCGCTACGATCCTTTCGCAATCCGAACGACTGTCGAATGCGAAAAAGCGATCGACTCCTCTAGCTTTTTCAATAAATTACCTTCAAGGTCGTATACACCGAGCGAATAATAGAACTATCCGAAGAAAGTATTCTGACCTGCTTCCAACAACTCCCTTCTAACATTGAGTGGAATCTAAAACGCGCGTACGTGCACGCCATTGTTTCGAATAAATTCGATAAAGTGCGTCTCTTCAGTCCGTTGCTCGAAAAGTAATCATCGAATCTCTTGTCTTGAGATTCATCTCTTACCTAATACGCCGAGTTCTATCCATATCTCGTCGTGAGATCGATCGTTTCTTCAAAGTTGACTGTTTCCTCTAAGGACAACGAGTTCTCTCTTTTTCCAGATTCCAAGGATCCCGATATTATCCAGTTCCTCGCCTACTCCTTCCTGGAAACAAGATTAGGGTTGCTTCCATTCCCCCCGCTCCCCCCCCCCCCGTGTTCGAATCTGAAGTAACGAGCCGCACAATCTACGATAAATCCTGATCACACTTTGTTCCCGTTGTTGCGAAGATTTGCGCACACCGTGACACGCCTGTTGATCTTTGAAAGGGGATTGTCAAGAATTTCAGGACAAGTCGTACGCCCGTGGCATTTACGTTCGCGATTCGCTCAAAGAGGACGTCTCGATGCGTGCTTTTTACGCATCAGGAATATTAACGCGTCACGGGTTCGCCGCTTGGAAAAGTTGAACGAATATTTTTCGTAATTCCGTTTCGATGCTCGACGCTGCACGCGTTCGTCTGAACAGTTTCGTGATCTCGTTTACATTACACGAAACGAAGGAGCGACGATGCTGTGTGTTCTCTGATTCGTGTCGTGGCGATGACTTTGGCCTTGACGCATATTCGACAAACGGAAGAGTCGAATATAGTTTCGTAAGTGGACACAAATTTCTATTCGTTTACGCAACTTATTTGGATATCGATTGAAATTCTTTCGAATAGAATGGAATGTAATTACATTTCACCGGGTAGGAAAAGAAAAGAGAGGTTTGAACGAATCTGGAATCGCGGTCAATTTTATTTTGGGCCGTTTACGCAGGGAAAAAAGGAATATTCGTGAACGAGACGTGCGTGTAAAACATGTGGATGGAAAAGTGTAGCGAAGGAAGACAACGTTTGATAAGAAAAACGTAGACAACGAACCGGCCGTTTGTGACGACCATTTCACTTTCTATTGTTCAATCATGCCAAGAAATTGTTCAATGAGATTTCGACTTTTGCGCGATCGTTGATTTTTCTTCTCTTTTTCTCTATGGTAAAAACCGTGGTTACAATTGGATCGAGCGATCAATCAACACGATCGTGTTTAACACGCAGAGAAAAGGTTAATGCATCTGTTGTTCTTTATTGAGGAATCAAATTTGTTATAAAGAGATTAAGAGTTATTTGGATTATTTCTCGGAAAAATTTTAACTGGTTCGAAAATGTAGCTACAAGTTCGAGCATTTTGTAACGTCCATCGTTATCGTGTAATTTAATCGTCTGACAATATTACAGCGCTCTGCTTTTCTCCGTCGGCAAGCTAGAAACTCGCAACTCGTTGCACGCATCTTGCTTCCGTTGAAATACTCTCTCGTCGAAGTGACGGAAATACTTTTCGTCGACACGCGTTTAAATATTCACAGATAACAGTTATTAAATCTTGTTCCCGTTCACGTCTCTGTACAGGTCATCGTTGATACCGTACAGTCTTGGCGAATCGTTGCAATCAACCTACGACAAACGACAAACGACTTTAATCCCTGAGTCAAAATGATTGAAGTAATTATACATTTAAAAAATGAATACCTTGAACCACCAATCACAGACGCGAGCTGACTGGCTGAAAACGGTACCGTTTGGACAAAGGAAGCTAAACATGCGCCCATTTGGCAAGCACCAATGCCAAACCTGGTGAAAATATTCGAAATCGTGGTCGTGTAATGGCGGCGTAAGAGTTAGTAGGGCAAACTTACCTGACATCTAGCTTCGGGATCGGCGTAATAACCAGGTAACTTGCCTCCGCAGGTAAACGTGAGACCGAAAGGCACCGAGTCGTAGATCGGATAATCTACACCAGGCGTGTAACCGTCTACTTGCTGAAACGTCGGTAAAAATAAATATACCTTGATTAGAGTTTATTACACGGATACAAAATACACGCGCGACGGTGAAGATTTTTCGGAGAAAACGTGCAATTTGTAAAACGTGTATAGAACAATCGAGTTGTTCGCTCATTTCGATTCGAAAAAAATTGTGTGTGAATTACCCGTTGATTTCTCCTAGAACAAAGACAATTATCCGAGAGGCGCAACTACTGGAAAGTATTATTTACATTGCAATTCCCTTGGGATTCTGTCGAAACATCGGTTACAACTTTCGTCATTTATCGTCGTTCGCGATGGAATGTGGACGGATGCACGCTATGAATCGCTCTTCCTTACCAAGCGCAATTATCGATTATTAAACGGTCCTTCTCTATCGCCAACAAGAAGAGAATTTTAACCGTTCGTTTCATTCTTTCGTGGATAAAACGCGAAAGGATACGAGAGGAAAAGGTTAAACGGTCGGAGCAGCTTTTAAAAGAAACGTTTAAATCGCAATCGGGTTGAAAGGAGATCTCGGTGTGCGATCTTTTTCGCAATAATCGGCTATTGGTCGAAATGAGAGAGGGGGGAGAAAAAAAAGAGGCTGTTGCGACACACGAAACTGGCGGAGCCAGTCCAGTGCGTGTACGTGCCGATGTCTGACCGGAAGTCGGTTAGTTACATTGTTCCCCGCAAGCGGATGCAAGCATCTCCGTGCCTTTGTATTCCATCTCCTGTCCACTACCACTACGCGCGCAACCGCAAGGCATTCGCCTCCACCCTCTCGACGTGACGGGTGATTTCGACGCCTGGTAAAAAGGTACGGCAACGATCCATTTGCCGCCGCGCTGGAAATTGTTAGGGTGGGTCAGGATTTCCCTTCCCAAGATCATCGATACTTTTTCATATTCTTCTCCGCAAGCTTAATCAGTTTCGTTAAGAATGAATTTGTAGAGAAAATTTAAACGCGCTCGATTTAAAATTTTCGAAAAGAAGATTAATCCTCTCCTCTCCTCTCGAGAGGAAAGATGAAGATGAACGGAAAGAACGTCAGGAAACGGCTACGATGGTCGTTCGAAGGATTAAGAAATTTATCGGTGTACCGTGAATGTTAACGCGATACGATCGACGGATTAATTAATGATTCTCAGTTTTCTGGCCACTGCCTCGGCGGCATTGAAAATTTGGATCCCCTCCGCGCCGTCCACGGCCATCGTTTCCGGTGAAAATGAACGCACGTACGATCGTCCATCGATGGAACAGTTCGAGTGGAAAAAAAGAAAAATAAATAAATAAAATATCGTGGACGGTTACGGGCGATAATACAAGCTCGAAGGTTTCGTAATTACGGAATTGCACGCGCGCAGTTCCCAAAGAACACCTGATTCTGGCGTATTGCGCAATGGAAGAGGCGGAAATTTTAATTTTCGCCGAGTCGGGCGATTTTGTCCGAGGGAGCGCGGAATTCGCGCGAGAAAGCATGCTCGCGCAAGAGACGAGTTAATTAATGAATTACTTAATGCCACCACCACCTGGAGAAGATGAGGCGAGAAGATAATACACGTCCTCCCTCTGTCATTGTTGCGCGTGAGAACAATGTACAATGTATAATAATAATAATAACAGCAACAATAATTTCGCAGTTTAATTCGCCACTTATTTCGTAATCGTATTGTATTCGAGGTGGCGAATACACGCTCGCGCAACAACGTGTCGAATTTCGAACGATCGAAGATTTTTCAGCCGTTTCTCACTCACCGCCATCGCTCGATACAGCAGAACCGTGGCGAGCACCAGGAGCGGGCACAAAATTTGGTACCGCGAAATCATCTGAAAATCAAAATCGAGCGAAAAATGAACGAAACGAATCGATCGGTTCAGAAATCAACCATCAAGTGGGATTTTTTTGGGACTTACCTTGTTTTGCGCAAAAGATCAGCTTAATCCTCCAGCGTCCCCCCACGTGGTGTTCATTTATCTTCGGGATCTCGGTATCGATTTCTAACGTATCGGCACAATGCACTCGACGGCAGCCGACCCGCTGGACCTCCGCCGCCCGCGAGGTTCGCTCCCCGCGGTGTTACGGGCAAAGTTCTTTCTCGAAGGATGCCACCACGAAGTGGTGGTATATATATGGCTTTAGAGATCGAGCAGGAACGAGGGGGGGCTCCTTGAGAGCCCCTCTTTTCCGGGGCTCCCACACCGGACGAACGGAGAAAGAGAAGATCCCAGGAAGGTGGGGGAGGGATGCCGCAGATTCTTCTCTTACGCAATCCTTCTCGTGCTCTTACACCCGTGAAAATGGATCGTACTTGAACCAGCCTCCCCACTTTTTCTCTCCGTTTCTTCGAACATGGAGGGTGGCTCGGAATGGGAGATCGATCCCTGTTCGACAGATACGAAATGGACGAATTTGTTATGCAACGATCCGTTTATTTGTAATAAAATTCATCATCGAATAATGGATTAAAAGAAATTTGAGCGTTTACTCTGTTGGGGGGTAAACATCCTCGAAGGATCGCATTTCGTCGTATATTCTTTTCTTTCTTCGCGAGCCGAGAAGTATAGTTCGTTTCGTTATCCAAGATAGAGATTGAAATTTAAATAATCGGATCGATCGAAAAAGGAGTAAAAAGTTTGGAAAGTTTTCCGTTTCAACCGATTTGCAAAAAATGTCGTCGAAGAAAGCGGGAAGTTGCAAAGTAATTCCTTTCTTCCGATACCTCGGTGCACTTATTACACACGTGCGTCGTAGTTGAACAGGCGGGAAACGGGAATCTCGCGCACGATCAACCCATTCATTTGCATACCTGTTTCATCTTCTTCTTCTTCTTCTTCTTCTTCTTCTTCTTCTTCTTCTCGATAACCCCTTAATTTTCGAGGCGCGTTCACCGCCAATTAGCGTTGCGCGTAATTGCTGACCGCGAACTTTTCGAGATTGACGTGCAAATTCCGTGGAAATAGATGGTTTCGATTTTAGCCACGGTTCGCATATTTTTCTCGAATTAGGTAACAAAGTATTGCGTCGTTTTCGAATATTCTCCGCGTATATGATCAAACGGCTTCTCGTTCCCGCGATTAATCATTTAATACCGTAAATAACAAGGTTCCCTTTGTTTCGTTTCGATTTACACGCTTTAAACGCGGAAAGGAAAGAAAAAAGAATAAAGAGATAAAAGAGTAGGAAGATAGAAGTGTCGTCTTGAATTAAATTATCGTTAATTATATATTGGGACGATTACAAAATACGTGTAACATTCGTGGGAAGGTCCGCTCGTTTCTTTTACGATTGGTGGAATGGAATACGGAGGGAAATGCCAGCGCATCCTGGTGGAAGGGAAAGAAAACTTTCGTTCACGTCCCTTGTCGTTGAGCAACCATTTGCGATTAGATATATTTTATGATCGCGTCGAAAAATTCCCTTATCTAATAAGGGAAAACCTGGTTCGATTGAAAAAAAAAAAAAAAAAAAAAAAAAGAAAAAAGAACGTTCGTCATCTTAACAAAATGTTATCTCGCGCGAGTGAAAAAAGCGCGAGTTTTATTACGTACGTTACACTCGAGAAAGGAAACCGAAGAAGGATCATTTGTTTTAATGGACACTTTCGACAGACGGTTACTCTACATATATATATATATATATATATATATAATCTTCACACGCTCGACAACTATTCGGTCGTTATAGGCTTTCATAATTTCATAATTAGTTTAGACTTTCGAGCATCTTTCCTCGCACAAAAGCGACACGAAAGACTTTCTCACGTTTTTACCACTGTCGACCGATTAAATGTATTTAATTACGATATTGTGGGATAATGTGTATCGGTCGACAGTGTATATCCGATGTATAAATCCCAAGTTTTATAGAGGCTACGACAAAGTGTAGCCGTTCTATCCGATGATAATCTATCGGCCACGCTCGATTCGACAATTATCTTATAATTAATCTTATCAAATCTATCTAGTTGGATCCAGTCTAAATCTTTATTAATTTGTTTTATACATCGATTGTCTGACTATTATTCAATTTATATCTCGCTTTTTTTTATTATTATTATCCCGCATCTCGATACACGTGCACACAATCGAAACTTTGCTATCCTTTTTTTTTTTTCTTTTTCCTAACTTTTTTTACGTAACACTCGGCTGGTAACGTATGGATTTTATTGCGTTCAAACGTTACGTAAACAATGTAACGTCAATTATAAGGAATCCTAGGAAACGATCTTCCTATTTTTTTTTCCTTGTGTACCGATTCCAGCCTCAAGCTTGAACTCGCTTTTTATTACTTTTTACACTTTGCTCCGTCGAGAGAGCAGTTTTGTTTACAAATGAGTTTTATCATCCGTATAATAAACGGATATTCATCGGCACGCTTATTCTACGATTAATTTCGATTGTGAATCGGCACACACGAAGGTTGTCCCACATTCGACACCTGTTCACGAGCGAATTAATAAGCGTTCGAAAGACTTGTTGCGCAACGCTCGATACATCCAACAGAAGCGTTTGCATTCTAATTTTTCTTTTTACTTTCGATTATCGCGGCAAAAAGAAAAGAAGAAAATGAATATTCGAAATAATAAATAATTTATTTGTGATGTTAACGAGAGCATAACGAAATGGCGTTATCTCGGCTGCGTTGATTCAGATTTATCACAAGTTTGGTGATAATAGGCGCGCAGGCATGCGTCGTGGCATCGAGCGCGTAGCGGCGACTCGCCTCGCCGTGTTTTATCAGTCGACGCGAGTCGAAGCGAGTCGCGGTGTCCCAGATTTTCAGTCGCACGTACGTGCTACACGCGACAGCGCATAGCACGCAGCCGGTTGTCGATCGTCCGCGGATCCTAGATCGGTCCATCTTCAGAACGGTTTCGCGGTTCAACGAGCGTACATCTATGCCCACGTTTCTCCATACTCGAGCTACGATTCAATTCGTATCGTTATACTCTTCGAGATCGTCGCGTTTCGCGAGGGAAAATTTGTACGTGTCCTCAGTGATGTCGATGGCGCATGAATCTGAAAACTGTACAGGTAAATGGCACAAGATCAATTTTTTTTTTTAAGATATATTTACTTTGATCCTCTGATGTTGCGTTATTTTCCAATGCCTGTTCTTTTCCTTTTTTTTTTTTATATCTCGCATAGAAATGAAATATCTGTATATTATCAGGTATCATAAAAATTTTCTTATCTTCTCGTTGATATTTATCGGTGATAAAAGAAAAAAGAAAACGATATCGAATTGAAATTTTTTTTTAAGAAAAAGGAATTGTTCGAGCAAATATCTTTTTTCTTTTTTCCCTTTTCTTTCACCGATCGCGTTACCTTCGATCCATTCTTCTTCCGCGTTTTTTTACCGATGGAAAAGAAAAAAAAAGGAACGAGTATCTCGGAAATCGTGAGAAAATGTGTGTTGAACGACAATGAATTACCACCGGTTTCGTTTCGCTCGCTGGAAATCTGATCAACACTCGCCGTATTGAATTAATTATAATTGGAGGATGCGCATTCATTCCGCGATCAAAGTAGGAAAAAAAAAAAAGGAAAAACATTTTCACGGATTAACGTGGACGAGCGGTGCTGCTGCTGCACCGCGGTTTAAATTCGAGACACGCGCCGTTGCAGTTCGTTCGTGACACGAGTATAATTGCTTCCGGCCAGACAGTCATCCACCGACACTTCCGGTATCGTTGTTACCCCGTCGCGAGTTCGAAAGGGGACCCCCTTTCTTTTTCTTCTCGACTCGATTCTGCACCCAACGAGAGAGAAGTGGACGATTTGTCGCGGGATTGGCAAAGTTCGATAATCCCGCGGCTTAACGGAAATCTTGGAAAACCGTAATAACGATCGGTGACTGTCTGCAGCTTCGTTTCATCCTCGAACGATATATACCGTTATTGCTAATACCCGAGCTCTTTCTTCTTCTTCTTCTTTTTCTCGCGCATTTCTCGAATACCAACCGACTTCACTTTACTCGAGACTTACACCTTCCGAATTGGTACACCCGGTACGTGGACACGCGTGTTTACAGTTCTAGTATCGCGGGTGTAATTGGAGGACAGGTGTATGAGGCGCAAGGGATATATACAGGGCGGTCCGAAAAGTAACACCTCGACCTTTCTCGATCCTCCTCTACACGTTTGTTTATTTGCGAAAAGTTGGACTGGATCGGATTTCGTATACGCGCGCGCGTAGACAGAGAGAGGGGGGATGGAGTAAAATTTCACGAGCGTCTTTTCCTCGCGTCGGTCGGCTCGTTTCGACCTTCGTTCTTGAATTTCTCCCCTCCCCCTTCCCCCCCTCCCCCGGGAGGAAACGAGCGCCACCGTTTTTCGAAACGGTAACTGCGCACACGGATTCCCCTCGACGGGGACAACAGAATGGCCGACCGACACACCTGACCAACGGACGGAATAACATTAATGAATCCCTTTTTCCTTTTTTTTTTTTCACCTGATCACCATCGGTCACCTGACTCATTTCCTGCTTCCTTCGTTCAAAGCCAAGCCCCCCATGCGCATTTAGAGTTTCTCGATCGTATCGTGTCCGAGGCGCATCCGTTCGAATGTTGAAAAATGTTGTGTGACCGCGGCGGAGACAAAGGCGGGGGCTTTGTGCAAAATAGAGCAGGTGAAACGACTGCTACTACGCGGTCTCGAATTTCTCGAGTGACGCGAGTTCCCTGAAACTTCGCGCTTGTATATTTGCGGATGAAACGGTTTGGAAACGGGGTGGGGTGGGGTGGAGCGAGTGCCGGGCGGAAAGAGTGCGAAAGAAACGATCGAGAGCGCAAGGTGCAACACGTGCCGCGCGACAGCTGTTTTCCGCCTCGAGTCGAGACGTTGACCACATTTTTAATTTCGCGGCTCAACGATGAAAATAATAATAATAATAATAATGGCCCGTTGCGAGCCCGGTGAATTCTCTCTCCCTGTTGTTGTGTTGCTCGTTACGTACCTCCTTCACTTTTCTTCTTTTTTTTTTAATAGTAATAATAATAGCAAAAGTTACGATTCGTAACGATCATTTTGTCCATTCGCACGATTTCACACTGTTTCCCTCGAATCGAAACACGAGCTGACGATCGATATTCGTATTCGTGTCGCTTGTGTTACGATCGTAATTTTTATAATCGGATCGTTTGTTCGTTTCAAGGAACGGATCGGAGAAGATAGGAGGGAGAGAAACTTGTGGTAGATAGAAAAGGAGAGAACCGCGTGGACCGATGAACATGGAAGACGAGGACTTTGGCTTCGCTTCGAAAAGGGCTGACTCTAAGGAAACGGTGAAAAGTGACAAGGATAGCTGCTCCTCGGGAGAGAAGGTCTTGTTCGATTAAAAAACAAAAAAAAAAGAAAAAAAGTTAAAAGTTTTTAAAAGCCATTTTCAAAAAAAATTGACGAGGAGAAAGGGTGAAAGGAAATTTTTGTTTCGAATTTGTCAGACGAGGGAAACGATCGGTGGTGGTGGTGGTGGTGGTGGGTATAGATCAGTGATGACAGCGCCGTTATTCGGGGCGACCAAGGCCGGAAACGCCGTCCCTGAGCGGGCAGCGACCGCCTCTTCATCCTCTCCGGCTTCCTCAGTCGTTTCCAACCCGCCGAACATACCGAACGTGGTCGAGTATCATCTGAAAGTGAAGCCTGGCCAAACACAGAGAATTAGTACTACTCGAATCGATAATAGTAGCGTGAGTATCGATCGACTTTTTCTTTAAATCTTTTTTTTGAAATCGATCGAATATATTCGTTCATCGATTGTTTTCGAGAAATGAAAAAAGTATCGAAGAACAAGAAGTTGCGTCGCAATTTTCTAACGCAACATCACAATTAATTAATTCGTCGTGCGACTTTTTCCTTTCTTTTCTTAATTTATTAGAATCGTTAGAAAAGAGAAAACTTTGTAACACCGAAAATTTTCCTTCAACGCAGACAAGTCAAGAAGTGATCGAGATGAAGAAAGAGAAAAGTCCCGCGTCTTCGACCGACAAAGAAAGGAAAGATCTCGTGTCAAAGCTATCTCGTCTGTCCATCGATAACAACGTCTTCGAAGGTTCTACGGATCTTCCTCAAGTGTTCCAGGTATATATATATTTCACAATGTTTATCCACGCGCACTCTCGATCTTCGCGCGTAACCTTACATCAAGCGTAAATACGTAATTTTCCAACTTTTATATATACCAATTTTACGTATACCAAAACTCGTATACACGACTACGTTAGGAATCCGGGGTATAATTATTACCTGAACGGAGCCTCGAGTCACGGAGACTAAAGGGGAGCCCCTTTTCAGGTGAAATATTTGGGCTCTCATGATGCCAGGGGCCTCTGGGGTATCAAGCACACGAGGAGACCGGTCGATAATATGGTCGCTGCGGCTAAGGCATTACCGACCAACACCATGCTACCTCTGATCAAACTGGTCGTGTCCGAGGAAGGAGTAGCCTTGCTGCCTATCGAGAAGAGGAAGCAGGATCCCAACTTCGTCAAGATGTACGCTATCGAGACGATCTCTTACGGGGTCCAGGATCTCGTCTACACCCGGGTATTCTCAATGATCGTTGTACGGGAGACGGACAACTTTAGAAGAATGTCGCCGTTCGAATGCTACGGTTTCGTCTGCGAGTCGAAACATCACGCGAGGCAGCTCACCTACGCTCTGGCCGCTGCTTTCGAGATTTATTCGAGGAGCGTGAAGGCGCAGGATAAAATGGCGGAAATGGCGGGCAAGAACGGGGCGAAGAGAAGGTTCGCCATAGATCTTAGGAGTCCGGAAGAAATGGCGGCCGATTTGGCCGTGGATTCCGAGGCCTAAAAGTTATTTTCGTTTCGACTCGAGAATCTTCTTCCGTTCCGTCGATAAAAGGATTCGAAGAGGATTACGTTACGTTGGATTATCGGGATGGATACGTCTGCTCGATGGACAATACAGGGTACATACATGGTCGAAAATATTTAATATATTTTAGATTGCGTTAAGTTCGTTTAAGAGAGATATTTAAGGAATAAAATATTAGAAACTTGTTTGTGAAAGGTTTGTTAAAGGTGCGAGTGATTTACAAAAAAGTGCACTTGTATCCTTTTTCAATCGTTTAGATATTAAACATTAGGTATCTTATTTTTTTTTTTTTTTTTTTACGTTATATTATCTTCGTTTAACTCTCACGAAATGGCTACGAGACGAGATTTACGTTAATCTTAATTCCTTTCCTTTCGATTATAAAATGCTTTTGAGTATTGATATGATGAGTTTCACGAGTCTGATCTGATCGCGGTGAAGTTGTGTTTGAACGTGAAAGTTGATTTAATCGTTGTTTGTTGTTAATTCTATTTTATCGGCATTTATAAACGGGGAAAATAGGTATTGCCTATATCCACGATATGATGGCTAGTTATCCAAAGATACCGAATAGAAAAGAAGCCGAAGATTACCGACGGATTTCGGTGACTTTTGCAATTTCGTAAATAATTCTCTAACTTTTGAATTTAAAATATGAAAAAAAAAAAAGAAAAAAAAAAAGAATTGGATTTATTTCTAGCCGCTTTTCACGCGAGCGCGCGCGCGTGTGTGTGTGTGTGTGTGTATTTCTACTTTCATTTTATTCCTTCTGTACAATAAGTTTCGAGTATATTTTTCTTTCTTTACTATTGTTACGTATTATAATTTATTCTCGACTTATCCTTAAGTCAAGCAAGACCAATATCGACACATATCAATCGTTGTAAATAAATAGTTAACAAAAAAAAAAAAAAAAGAAAAAGAAAGGAAAAACGTTATCGACAACCGTCTTTAGCATCGATAATACGAATTATTATTTTTCGACGTTTCGTTTAATTCGCTAGATATTAAGTTACTTTTTTTTTTTTTTTTTTTTTTTTTTTGTCTTTTAAATCTTCGCATTCATCTTTTGCACCATCGTCGCACTTTCGTTCTAGGCTTGGGACATTTGTGTAAACTTTCTTATACGCGTGATTGCTTAATTACCGAAATAGCAGTATTAATTTGCTCGTATCATTGTATATGCAATAAAATTTGTTGCAGAGACTACGATCCCTTTATTTTCTCTAACTGTGCGTAATTTCATCAATTTACAAATATATATATATATATATCTTCAACACGTTCAAATGTACATTTCATGTATTTTTATTCTACATTTAAATATCTTAAATACCAAGCAAACTTATTTTTTTGCTTTTCGTCGAGCAAGCGTAATATTAATCTTGTTGTTTTTTCTTTTTTCTCTTTCAACAGTTTGATCTCTCTCTCTCTCTCTCGCGCACACACACACACACACACATACACAGCCGTTCACGATCGCTGATCCCGCGACATTTTCTTTGGATTCGAGATCCTCGATGTCCTGGCTGGTGGTCTGCTCGAAATCGGTTCCGCGTCCGATTCTTTCTGCTCCACGTCGTTTTCCTCTTCCTCCACCTCCTTGCCGATCGCCTCGTTCAAGTTGTAGAATTTCTCGGATTCCTCGCACGGTATAGAGTTTTCCGTTTTCGTGCAAACGAACGTCGCCTAAACGGATCGATTTATCGTCCCGAGAATAACATGTACACAATAGAAGGGGAAATTTTACTACTCACTTGATTGAACACCGTCTCCGCGGGGCAGATGAAGCTCCATCTGGTCGAGCCCCTGGCCTGCGGCATGCAAACGTGGAAAATTTGACAATCGTTCTCCATGTCGGCGTAGTATCCGTAAATTCTGTCCTGACAGGAGAAGTTGTCAACGATATTCTCCCGGATCAACGTGGCGTTGTCCGGCAATTCCAAGCCCCCGGTCTTGTTCTGAAAGTGGGAGAGAAAAATTGTTTTCGCTCCAAAAGAAAGAGAAAAGGAAGGGGACGACAAACCTTGAACTGGGGGATCGGCCTCCTTGACTTGGGCTGCTGTGGAAAAGTCCAAACGATGGAGAGAAGGAGGGCGAGGGACAGAATTAGACAAGTTCGTCGAATCATGATTCGAAAGAGATCGCGAAGAGGCGAGTTGAGCTGTTCCTCGTTGTGAACGAAGATCCTGTGAAGACTGGTGGTCCGTTCCGTAGAAGGGTGTTATATAGGAGGAAGCCGGGCGGAGAGGATCTTGAATATTGTATGAATGGCCGATTCTCGGTAGACGGAAATTAGTAATTTCGTCACGTTTGGTCTGCCAATGACCATCCAGACGTCCACATCATCCTCGAAGGCCCGATGCAAATTTTCCCCCCCGTTGATTTGCCGCCCGATACGATGCTCCCCGTACGTGCAATCGAAATTTCCTTCCATCGCGTGACGATATTCATCCTAATCCTCCGATTTTTCTTCCTTTTCTCTCTCTCTTTTCAACATTATTTCCTTAAAGAAGAATCGTTTCGTTCGCGCGAACAAAGGGCCAATCGATCGAACGCCCTTTGCACTTGGATCGGGTCCAATCTCTCCGGGTATTCTCTCCGAAAGGAATCGGCAAGGGTGCGGCGGCCGGCGAGGATATCCTGAGGACGGTTCGAAGGACGGATGCGAATGGAAAGCATTAAGCGTTATTTCAATTTCGAGTCTGCTGATTAAGAAAAGTTGGACGTAGGCCGTCCACCGAGAATAATTCTACAAATGAAACGGCGGAAGGATGTTTCCCACGAATTTCGATGATTTTCGGTTGGCCGGGCTCCAATCAGAGAAACGATCGAGGGCGAAAGCGGTCCTCGTGTCGTCTCGTTAAGGTCGCGTCACTCGCCGCCAATTCTTCGGGATTTGAATACATAAGAGTCATCCGTGAGGGCCTGATCGGTTACGAAACACGAATCCGTTTCTGGTCATTGACCATGACAGCCACACGTCCTATCCTTATATATATATGTGTATATTACACGCGCAGCTATGCACCTGTTCCCTCGAGCACCAAGGACGTTAAATTTGTCTTTGCGTTTCGTTCGAAGAGAAATGGGATTTTTCGATCGTGCAAAAATAATATGATTGTAAAATTAAACATCTGCGGCGTTATTGAGAGAAAAATTTTCGAATGTTTATCGATAGGATAGGAATCACGGCCGGGCGAACAACCCCGAAATTATCGGCGTTCGTTGAAAATTCTCGTCGCATTTTCTTCCAGCGGCGGATGACGAGGAATACAAAGGTACTGCTAGTTTTTAACTTGGACAAACTTGGTCCAACTCCCCGTGGAGAAAGAAGGTCGATTCAACGAGCTTGCCCGATCCACGCTTCTTCTTATTCACTGTCGATAAAATCGACGTCGATCTACGTTTCACGAATTTACCAAGCAAATTCTCCTTCCGACCTCTTTATCCAAGGTAGAAAAAGTTTGCGAAAATTATTATTACCAAAATAATTTATTTACGCTTCTTACAAGTGTTATTTTATAGGGAATAAAAGGTACAACAAAGTTTGGATCGTATGAAGAATAAATAATAATAAACAATAATAATAATAATAATAATAATAATAATAACAAACAGGTACGCAAAGTAGAGACTTTGGTTCGAGAATATGCGATCTCTATCGAAGACTTTGCGAAACGAAGAAGAAGAAGAAGAGAGAGAGAAAAAAAAGAAAATGCGATTTTCTATAAATAAAAAAAAACAATAAATAAATAAATAAATAAATATAACTAATAAATACAAAGAATAACATATGGATTACACCACGGCTCGTGTTAATTGTTAGACGGAGGTTAAAAATGCTATCGAAAGGGAACGATGATTAACTATTTTTTTTTTTTTTTTTTTTTTTATTTCTAGAAACCTGAGTAGGGAGAGAAAATAACGGCAGCGACGGCTGTGCTTTCCTTATTTTTCACTGCTCGTCATTTCGTGAACCTTGAGAAAGATGCGAGGTCCTGTATGTCAATTTTTCGGGGCGTAGGCGGAATAAGGCAAATCTTGAGGAGAATCGTTGGAGGAGGATCGTCCCCAATAATTGTGATCGTGATCGTCGTGATCGTAATGATGCTGGTGTTGAGCGTGCTCGTAATAGATCACTTTCGACGGTTTAGCGTTCTTCAGATCTAACCAGAATTTGGTAGCGTTGATGACGAGGGTCGCTATAGCGATGAAGAAGAATTTGAGCTGGAAGTGAGTCGAGATCAATTGAAGGAGTAGGCTGAGCTTCGCTTTGAACAACATTGCCAAACCGAGCAGCTTTTGCAGTTGCTTCTTCTTCTTCTTTCTCCTGCCACGTCCTTCCTCTGCAAATCGAAATTCCACTTGAGAAAACTTGGACAGATAAATCTTGCGGACGAACAATTTTATTGGAAATACCAAAGTGTCCGTAATGAAAGGAATCGAAAATACCTTTTATCGGTGTTATTGTTAAAAATTATTAATTTCTAAAGAAAAAGAGAGAGAGAGAAAAAAGGAAATACGTAATATCAATTTTCTATATCTATTCCGCCAAGAGGAAACATTAATAATAACGCGCGAATCGACACAGAAACTACTTTACCACGAACTCACTCTCTTAGATCGCCTAAGTGGCCGCGATTTGCACCACCATCGATTGTTTACGCGAGTCTAAGTGTAACGCGAGGCGTTCTCAACATCTATACGCTAATTCGTATTCTGCGTGCGCCTCTATATTCACTTTTTCGATCGTTCGACGAACGTTTACGAGTGAATTGGTTTCGTCACAAAAAAAAAAAAAAGAATATCAATTTTCCATTTATCTATTTTGCCAAGAGGAAAGATTAATAATAAAGCGCGAATCGACGCAGAAACTATGAAAACACTCGGCACGTTCTTTACCACGAACTCACTCTCTTAGGTCGCCTAGGTGGCCGCGATTTGCATCACCATCGATTGTTTACGCGAGTCTAAGTGTAACGCGACATCTACACGCTAATTCGTATTGTGTGCGCGCCTCTATTTTCATTCACTTTTTCGATCGTTCGACGAACGTTTACGGGTGAATTAGTTTCGTTAGAAAAAAAAAAGAAGAAAAAAAATTGATAAGAGTAATCGGAATAATTTGAGACGAGTCCGGTGACCCGGATACTCTCAACTGTTGTGGGCCACATAATTCCCCTCTGATGATGGCTTTCCCCTCGAAGAAGAGGAAGAAGAAAAAAAGAAAAAAATGAGTCACGGTCTTTCGACGAAAAAAATTCGTCGCTTAACGAACATTTCAATAAAAAAAAAAGAGATTATAGAACGACGATATTATCGTTGCTCCAACCGACGGAAGATTGTCCCGTCAAATTGTTCAATTTCTCGGCTACGATTCGCTTGACAAATGACTATAACGAAGTATAGTATAACGAGCATGGTGATACCGTTAGAGCAAATTTGCCCAAGATTCGCATAATCATTAAATAGTGTGCAAACCGAGAGAGAAGTTGACGTATCGAATATTGAATTTCAAGTCAAACGTGTCCTAGTTGACCTAAAGACACGTATTCACTTCTAACGTACGACTACACGCCTCGTCGTCTAACGTTCCCGTGTTAACGCGCTTCTTCGCAACGTTGTGAAATGTTCCGTGTAAATGTAATTAGTTCCATTTGCTTTGCTTCGTCGTACCAATAATATATGTATAAAAATATATATGTATATTATATGTGTATATAATATATATATATATATATATATAGGAAGTTCGAAACCGGTTATTCTATTCTCTTTTCCTCTTTCTACTCTCTCTATCTATCGCGATAAAGTTGTTTTTAAACGGATGATTCCTTCGAAGATTTTAAGGTTGAAAAAGGACAAAAAATAAATAAACAACTTGGGAATGGAAGTTATCGTTTCGAATTCGACGAAGAATAAAAGATTACGATAGAGAGAAAGAGATAGAAAGAGGTCAGTGAAATTTTCTGGACATCTAAAAGCTAATAAGACGAATCTCGAATCGTCAAGTTTCGAAGATAAACGAGTTAATTTTAAAATCGGTAAAAGTCAGGGGCCTTCTTTTATGGAAAAATTCGCATTTCATCTTTTTGTTTACGACGCGCGAAATCGTCGCTTTTCTCTTTCAACTAACTCTTTCTTTTTGACTCTATCCTATGATAGAAATTGATTTATCGTCACAAAAGCGTGGAATCGTTTCTACTACGACAAAGAAAGAAATCACTATTCTCACCGTGTTCTTCACCAAGTTGCGCGGCTTCGTCCATCTGATCCGCTCTTCCGGGATTTTGAATGTCGTCGACGAGTTCGGCCACGAAATTACCAGCCTGCTCGATCACCACGCTCATCGGTGTCTCGCTCTTCTTCCCCGTCACTTGCATCTCGATTCGATCCATGCTTCTCGCAAGCCTCGCGCCCAGACATCCCAACGTGTTCTCCTGTAACGCGCAGTCGAGCAACGCCTCGTCTCTCTCCTCCTCCGAGGTTTTGATCGGTTCACCCCGGGCGTGGAGGGTAATCCCGAGGAGAAACAAGACGGCCACCGTTATCCTCATCGTGATAAACACTTTGTCGAAAACTCTACACCGAGATCACAGATCATCAACTACTTCCCCGTCCTTCACCCTTCTCCAATTCTTCTCCTCTTCTTCTTTCTTCTTCTTCTTAAACTCGACTCGGCCTTCCGCTTTTTATATCCTTGGACCGCGTGTCACGGGCACGGAGTGGTTGTGGAAGGCGCGTGGTCGAACATATATCAGACTCTAACCCCTTCCTTTTGGACTTCCGCCAATCAAGTTGGTCCTGTTTCAAGTCGGACCTCGCTCGCCATCCCCCCACTGCCACGGTTTTCGTGGGCACACATTGTTGTTGAAACCGAGCCGTGTCTGGCTCTCCTTAAGGAATTTCGACCGCCTCGTCGAGCCGCTCCTGTGAACGGGAAAGAGTTTATTACCTGTTTTATCCGCGCGTAGGACCGAAAGAACAGTCATATTTTTGTTTTCGTTAATTCTTTCTTTCTCCTTCTCCTTTCAAAAATATTTTTCCAAATTTTTCCTTCGTTTCTTTCTACGAGGAAATTTTTTAACGCCCTCCCCTTGCCTCTCTCCTTGGAAATTGGCATCCCCCGTAATTGGACATTCTATCGCATTTCCCGTTACATTTTTAATGGCACGTCGTAATGTTTTTCTTTTTTCTTCTTTTTCCAGTTACTGAAAAGCATAATGGAATTAACATTGTACCCGTGTAGCTTGGCACGCGTGTGAGTCACGTACGTGGACCATCGACAGAAATTCCGCTTGGACGACGCTGGGATGCTAATACAACCTAATTCTTCTGGCCATCTTTCTTTTTTCTTTTCTTTTCATTAAACTACGGAGCCGTGAAATCGCTCGTTGCTTTCGAAACGCGATGGAATTAAGAATTTGGATTAAGGGGATAACTCGCACGGCTCGATTCGATCTAAGTAAAAATCTTTCTCCTCCCGTCATTCCTTTCGAATAATTATTCTCTCGATTAGCATAATCGAAAACGTCCCAGAGCCGCATAATCGGCGCGAAAGAGGGAACGCTCGCGACTGCTTACGAATGATTGTAGAGGATGAATCACCGTGAACTTTTCTCGCTCGATGCAAAAGATTCTACGAGCGCTGGTCGAAACGTTCGATTCGATTATCGATCGATTATCCGTATAGAGCGATCAAACAGGAGATTTGCGATTTTTTCATTTTCCTTTTTTACTCCTCGTCAAATCAAAGGTAAGTAAAACGAAGAGAAGAGAGAAGAAGAAAGTTTCTCAGGATCGAAGAGAGGAACACCCTCGTTGAGGTTCGTTGGCCGCGTTGGAAACGAAGGTTGAAAGACCTTGGGTCGATGACCGAACTCGTTGGACAAATTCACCCTCGGTCTCGATACTACTTCTGTAATTGAACTGATAGCGAAGATCCTTTCTTTCTCTCGATATCTGATCGTCGTTATCCACGTTTCCAAAGTATCTCCCTCGAATCTTTTATTTCTCTCCCTTCTGTAAAATTAATGTAAAATTAATCATTGAATTAACTCGTGACGCTGAGTTAAACTTTTTATCCGCATAAAATCCATCGTTTTTCTCTTCCTTTCCATTAACTCGCAACGAAGGATGCCGAGATCTCCAGCCTTGTCCTTCCCCAATGGAGACGCTCGCCATCGTCTCCAGCCTCCAGCTTCTTTCCAGCTTTCGCCCTATTTTTCAATATCTCTTGCCCTTCGCTACGAATTCGAAGAGGATCGGCGTTATATTCGAATAATAATAATAATTTTCTTCGCACAAATTACGAGAGTTTTAACTCTTCTATTCGTTTCGATCATGCACGCAGCTACGAATCCATAATACTCCTCCAATAATAATCCCGTCGACGTCTTAATTAAACAACGCATACGTGCAAAAGTGTTTCCTCTTCTCGACTCATTTTTTCGAGTGTGTTGGAAATCAACCATGTTGATTGAAGACGATCCGTCCTCGTGGCTTGCTCCTTCCGTGCGAACGAGAGAAAAAGGGTGCAGAGAAAGAAAGGGAGAGGAGTCGTCGTCGTCGATTCTCGTTTATTAAATGTTCAAACATTATTCCCCTTCGATCGTCATCGAATCGGCGGGAGGAGAGACGCTGGAACTTTACGATCGAAAGATTGAAACGAACGAGCCGAATCCTCATCGATGATGCAACGAAACGAGGAGAAGGAAAAAAGAAAAAAATCGATTTATCAAAAATATCTGCCGGAGAGAGAGAGAGAGAGAGAGAGAGAGAGAGAGAGAGAGAGAGAGAGAGAGAGAGAGTAGTAGTAGTAAGAAGTAAGTAACG